GATCACTGGATGAGATATGGGAGGAACTTCTTTGTCCGTTATGATTACGAAAATTGTAATAGTGATGATGCAAACAAAGTAATGATGGAAGTCGATACCAAAATTCAAGAAGCTAATTTCAAGTCCAGCAAATTGAGTTTTAATAATACAGAATATATTGTCAAAACAGCTGACAATTATTCATATACAGATCCTATTGATGGTAGTACCGCCACTAAACAGGTATAAAATAGCCACTAATACTATGAAATCGTAAATAATTTAAATATTGTAACATCAACAGTAAATTTCCCATTTATTCAATTACAGGGTTACAGAATTCTATTTGACGATGGTTCCCGGATAATTTATAGATTATCTGGAACCGGTAGTACTGGAGCGACAATCCGTGTGTATATTGAGTCGTATAAATCTGATCAATCCGAAATCTTGAAAGATGTGCATGAAGCTTTAAATCCATTAGTACATATAGCTCTAGAATTGTGTCAACTGAAAAAACATACCGGCCGTGACAAACCAACAGTTATCACATAAGAGTCGGTTTTTCAACATTATCTACTGATATGTAGATATCCATATATACTCGAAAGATAATTTATACAAATTTAACACCATAATTATATCATATATCTATTAGTTGTGAATGAACTTTTGTTGATTTGTCAAATAAAAAAAAAAAAAAAAAAAAAACATGTTTACTGATTATTCATTCCTATATAAATTATTCACTAAATATGAATCAAAAAATAAATCCATATCTGCATAAATTTATTTGCATAAATAAATATCTGCATAAATTTAGTTTCATCAAGAAAAAATTTTTGTTGAAATAGGTAAATAGAATTTCCATAGATTTAAAAAATGTTAAATATTTGAAAATCAAAGAATTTATCGTTTCCGACATGCATCATCTCTGATAGTTCCATGCTAGTTTATAATAAAGAATATGTAAAAACTTGCTCATGAGATAAAATATACTAGTTGGCAAATATTCTTTCTTATATTAATTATCATATTGTATTAGTTTTCGCTGTCTAAGCAGTGATGCATTAAATCAAATAATAAGTTCTTTTGATTCGAATTTTTTTCAATACAGCTTTTTGCGTTTTTCAATATTCCTTTTAATTTCTCTAAATTCTTCTCGACAGTTTTTTTTTTTTTTTAATAGTCGTTGATAAATTATCGACATGTTTATATAGTAGTTTGTCTACTTTTATATAAACTGAAAATAGTAAAACACAACCACTATAGTGATCACGCCAGTGGCGTGCCGAAAAACTGTCACTGATAATTTTGATCTAAATAATTAATTTTCTTTACAATTTATTTTTTCTACATTTGTTTAGATTTTCCCGCGAATAATAATGATGTTGGATGTTGAACACTTTCACGCGTTGTGACAGTTTAATTACAAATAATAGAAACGCATGCGCACATCAACTATAAACAATTCTATAAAAAACTCTATTCACAAAAATATACTACTCATATTGCTGCTTGATGATTAGTAAATACTAGCAAAAAATGAAGATAGAAATCGATTTACAACTAAACAAATAATCATTAAGCCATGATTTTCGAACCAGCTCTGAGCATTGATCATATGAATCGAATAAAGAACGAATCAGGTCAATAAATTGTATTCTTCAAGAGTTATAGCGTTATCACAATCATAAATTTATAGAAAATTCTGCTAAATTGCATTTGTAAGTAATTTTTTACATAAAATTGTTCATTAATCTACTTTACAATATATGAAATTTGTTCAATAATAAAATAACAATTCACAGTTTGATGGAAATTTTTATTGGATGTTTATTTAAATTTTGTGAAAATTTGAATAAACATCAAATAAAGATTTCCATCAAACTGTGAATTGTTATTTTATTGAATAATTACGGATATGAACAACAATACAATAAATTTGTTCAATAATGTTTTCGCCTGGTTTTTTCACTCTTTAACTGGAATATATTTAATTTAAAAAGGAATGCAGACCATCAGTGAATGAGTTTCAATTTATAGGCAATCATAATAGAACATTGCTCAGCGTTTTGCGCCGAAGGCATGCGGACTTAGAAAAAATTTTTCTGACTTAATCATACCATGTGGAGCGGATAATTTGTTCATTGAGCTTTGATTTGCTATTATCTAACCCTTAATACGACCACTTCTTGTTGAAATATCGGACTTTGAATGAAAAAGGACCATTTCGTCTTTTACCATCGATATCTTAACAACCAAAAAAATATTTTCCATGCACTACATGAATTTGAAAAATCAAGAAGAAAGGGCTTTTTGTGGATTTTTGAAAAATCAATCGCTAACATAAAAATGTCTCGAAAACTGTTTCAATTTAATCTAACCAGCTGTTTTTTGTTTCACTAGAATTTAATATGCGCGCGCCTGAATGTACGGTTTGCATATATTTTCATGCTTACGATATATTCGACCAATCACATCACGAATAAATTGATGCCACATACATTTTATCTCAATTTTATGTTAAAGAAAGAAAGAAAGATTTATGTTAAGAAAGATTTTATGTTAAGACTAGAATGTGATTTGCGCGAGCCTGAATATAGGGTTTACATGCCAAATCGACCACTTTTGACACCGACCCTTTTCGATTTTTCTTAAATTTATGTATCTTTTTCTACACTATTGGAAACAATTTTCAGAATTTTTTCAAATTTTTTTACCCAACCAAAAAAAAGTTACGAGTTATTTAAAAAAATAGCTTTTTTTTTTGTTAAATAACCATAACTTTTTTGAAAATTAACTTTTTAGGGTGTTTTTTTTTTAATTTTTGTTTTTAAATGTACTTTAAAAAAAAAAATAAAAATAATAATTCGGATTCATATTCAACGTTTTTTTTTAATTTTTGGAAAAAAACGAAAATTTCGAGATGATTGACATTTTTGTTTTTCGATTTTTTTTTTTATAAAAAACTTCAGTATTTTCTGCGAATTCCCTGAAATTTTCAGAGTGGTATTTTTTTTCTTTCAATTTAAATGTTTATTTTTCGTTATACCACTCTGAAAATTTTTCAGCAGATTTAGAAAACTTCAAAATCCGAGTAAAAAAAGTAAAAACAATAATTAAAAGTGACAATCATCGATAAGATTTGATTATTTTTCAATAAAGTTAGATCAAAAATTAAAAGAAGAATTGAATTATTTTTTCGTATTTTTTTTTACAAAACTATATGCAAAAAAAAAATTAAATTGTTGTTCGAACCATTTTGGAGCAGCGCATGAACTTTCAAATAACTTTGTATGTAAACTTCCTATAACTTTTGAACGGTTAGACCGATTTCATCGCGGTTGGTGCCATTCGAAAGGGCTTGGCCAAACTTAGATTTTGAATACAATTTAGACCGATTCAGACCGATAGATTGCGAAAAATCTAAAAAAAACTGTAAAAAAAAATTTTTTTTAAGTGGTTTTTTTGGAATAACTTTCAAACGGCTCTATCGATCAACTCCAAAAACTGATTAGCTTTTAACCTTGAAAAACCATACGTCGATTGCCGCTAATCCGGTCAAAATCGGTTGATTCGTTCGAGAGATATCGTGTAGGAAAGAAAACCCATAAAGTTTTTTTTCGGAATTACTCCGAAATTTCTTGTTTGATCAATTCAAACTTAAAGATTCTTTATGAGGCTTAAAAAACTGCGTCGAATTCCGCCAACCGCAAGAAAATCGGTGCATTCATTCAAAAGTTATTGCGGTTTGAAAACTCAAAAAATAATGTTTTTCACAGCTTTTTTCATATTTTGATCGATAACGGTGTTTCACTTTATGAAAAAAGAAAGAAAAAAATTTCCTTGAAAAATTGTCAAAAAAAATTTTTTAATTTGTAAAAATAGAAATTTTAAAAGCCGTTGATCATAAAAACTAAAAACTATCCATGAAACTTTCTGTTTCTATTCTTAATAAATATATACTCAAACAACATGATTTACGCGTGGCAATTTTAATTTTTGAAGTTTCCGCCAAATTAACTAGTAGTGACACCTAAACCATCTTGCGATATTGCAGAAGTTTAATAGTAACAAAAACTCGCGTCATTTTCTGAAATTAGTTAGTGTGTTAGTGATAATAAAGTGCGTATTGGTAAAAATTTCATTAATAATAGAATACATAAAAAATTTTATTTAGGATTACGTTATTAAAATCTGTTGAGTTTACTTATGAGAAAAATATTTTATTTATTTCATACTAAATGACACGTGAATTCTAAAAGATATCATATTCTTTTTGAATGTGATGTGATAAGTTTTATCAAGCTTACAATTTATTTTATAATTAAGGTGTAAGCAAATATTTTTTTATCAGTATTACTTTTCGCTATTGAATTATGAAAAAATGTCATACATACAATTATTGTCCGTTAATTATTACTCAATAGGTTTGTTTATAAGGTAAGGGTAAGTAAATAACAATGTCAAATTTCTACCTATTTTTTTTTGACTTCAATATATTTACACACAATTTACAAGTTAATAAGTGTTGACTGAAAGAATGGTTTTTGTTGATCGAATAATTAGGAAAAAATTTTTAGATCTACGTATATTAATTTCGATTTACTGAGCTCGAATTTGATCTTCTTAGATATTCGATTGGATGAAATGGTCAAATTAAATATACGTAAAGGGACAAAAAAATTTGCTTATTTACATTTTATATATATATATATATATATATATATATATATATATGTATATATTACATGTGTATAGATTCATATTTATAGAAGTATGGATACATATATGTATCTGAATTCATTTACATATTTATCTACTTATGCAGATGTATTTTTTGTCATAATTTCAATAAAAAATTGTTACTTTAATGTCAACCAGTTTATTTAACTTACATATAACATATTATAATACAAATAAAAATTTTTTCATGCAAACAGATTATAGGTGCAGTTATTAATGTTCATCATTAATATTCAAGATTATATTTGAACAGTTATAAATTAAGGTTAAAAATGTTTGAGTCGCCAAGAAGTCTACAAGAGGTTTGTGTTGACTTTATTTGTGATAACGTTTTAGCGCTTTGTGAATTTCATTCAAGTAATTCCGGACGTACAAATTTCAATCCAATTTTAACAGCAAGTTCAGAAGGTATTTATCAGTAAAATAATAACCATAACGATTTCCGAAATAATATTAAAAATTTTTTTAATTTAGAAGAGCCATTTATTGAGAACACCACCGATGATAATAGTTTAGCAGTAACTACATCATCAATAGCTTCATCAGTAAATGATATCAATTTTTGTTCCTTAACGAGACTGAATTTCAAGGATCCAGATATTTTTTTGCCAACTCAGATTTCTGAGCAATTATTAGCTTCTCTTTGTGAAAAAAAAGCCTTATCTGATCTCACAATAACTTTATTTGATTCAAAAACGACCATATTGAGGTAATTGATGAGAAATGTTTTTGTCATTATGTCTTACTAATTAATATATGTTTTGATAGACACGTAAGGCTCAAAGATGCTTCGAGACTTTCTGTTAAAGGTTTAAAAGTTCTTAAACAACATAAAATTATTGATTTAGAAGTTAATGGACTTAGGATTACCATCAATGATTTAATAGGATGTCTTGGACAATGGAGCTTAAATAATCTTAGATCATTAAGTGTTGTTAAAGGAAGCTTTATAGATTGTTCTCGGTAAGAAGAAAGTAATCCGAATACTCCAAAGTTTCATTTGTGAATAAAAATGATTTATAATTCAACTTTTTAGAGTTTGTGTATTTATGGCATTAAGTAAATTACGAGCTCTTCACACATTAAATGTTTCTGGAACAGAGTTTAACAAACATGGGTTAGAGATAATTGTTGAAGATTTGCCTTTATTAGAGAGTCTGGATATTTCAGATACACGAGTAGATGACATCACACCGTTAAAAAGATGTAAAAATCGTTTGAAAAGTCTTGCTATGTATAAACTCAGAATCACTGGATATGGAAATCTCAAAACTGTTTTTTCGGAACTTGATTCACTTAGAAACCTTGATATTTCTGATGAGCAAGATTCGAACTCGTTCGAGATGTTTGCTCCTATTCGATCAAAGATAACAGACCTACTGCGAGCAGTTAATTGCATGCCATATCTTACTCGCCTAGATATTTCTGGAAAAGACGAAATCGAAGTAAAAGATCTTAAAGAATTTTTGAAGAATCACCCACATTTGGAATTTTTGGGACTTGTGCACTCAAACATTTGTTATGAAGATAGTTTAATTAATCCCGCAAATAAAGATTACAGACCAGGATTGATTGTAAGTTTAATAAGTTATACTTTATTCATTTCACAAGTTACTTCGGTTTCATTAGAAGTGTAAGTTTGATTGATTAAGTATAAGAATTATTCAAAATGATCATAGTCTGCATTTTATAATAACTTTTTTAACTATAATAGTGTATATATATTAATTCATATAAATATTTTTTGATTTTCATATTTTTCGATTCGGATCTTAGATTCAGAATAAATATCTAAAGTTAATAAAATATTTTCACAACTGCTACAGAAATTTTGTTCAAAAAATAACCGTCAATCTACTTTTGATCAATTTAAAAATACAATTAGCTTTAGACCGAGAAAAAATTCGTTAAGGGGGTATTCTGGTCTAGAAGCCTAAATTTTAGGCATTTTTCAAACTAACATAAAAAAAAATGAAAAACATTTTTAGTATCCGTTTTTTTATATGATGTTTATTGACATTTAAAGAATATAAAAAAAAATTTAAAAAAAAAACATGAGAAATTTAAAAAATTACAGGCCGGTGAAGTGGGGGCTACAAAAAAAACGGTGCACCCTGGTTGACATGATTCCAGTCCTTAAAGTGATCTGAAACAAAAATATTTGAAAAATTCTCAATTAGTGAAGATGTCGCTATCGCGTTGACCTTAGCCAAAAAAAAAAAAATTCACAAAATGGCGTCAACATGAATTATCAATTTTTTTTACTCATCTTTTTTGACCTTTTCGAATTTTTTAAAAATACTTCAAATCGAAATTTTTCAAAATCCAAATCAGAAGTGATAAAGAAATACATAAAAAAGACTCCCACCAAATTTCAAAGGAATTGGTTTGGTAGAACTTGAGATATCATGTCAACCACTTCAAAAAAAAGTAGTTTCGAGAAAAACGCGTTGAAAGTTTGAGAAACAATTTCAGTAGAATAACTCGGATAATAATATTTAATACTTACTTTGGATTAATCGGCGATCTCAGATCCATATATTGGGCCTTAATCTACTTCATACTCAATGTTTTGCACATTTTTTTCTGCTAATCGAGCTGTTCTGCCTTCTTTTGAAAAAACAGAGGCTCGCAATTGTGTGACTCGCTCCGATCAACCGGCTTAGATGCTGCGTCACAAAATCTACTGTATCTCCGAAAATAATTCGAATTTTGAAAAATCCATTTAAGAACATGTTCTTAAGGGTCTAAACTTTGAAAATATGAAAAAAATCGATTTTTTCAAATTTCTAGACCAGAATACCCCCTTAAATGTTACAACTTTCATCGATTAATTTGCTTGAAAGATATCGTTATCAAAACAGTGTTTTTACAATCAAGTTTTCTATAAAGTAAAAGCCCCAATAGATGATCATATACTGGTACAGGATCATCTATAGATTGGGGCTTTTACTTTACTAATAAAGATTCCTTGACCAACTGATTGTTGATATTATTGGATCTCTCAAAGTAAGAAAAAAAATTCCACAAATCATTACGCTTCACAATATTTCCTACATTTTAGATGATTTTCTGAAAAATGTTATAGCTTCTTGATTTAATTATTATTCATGAAATCAAGCGGAGTGACGGCCGAGCAGGCTAAGACATTAGTCCTTTCGTACATCGTGTCGTGAGGCGAGGGTTCAAGCCCCGACGGTTGTTAGAATAGTTCCAAAACCAACCGCCGGGGGTCGCTCCAGTAGCCGAACTGTACTGGCATGGGTTTTTTCTGTGGTTTCCCCATGTCACTATTCCAACAGCCTATAGAAAGAGGTGAGGAATAGGGCGAATGCAGTACAGAAAGCACAAGTCGATCCACAGCCGCAAATTAACAACATATGCGGAGAATAATAAGTGGAATATCTGTGGTAATAGCATAAAGTGGAAAGTATCGGTTACAGTCTTGTAAAAACCAATGGGTATACAAGTAAAAATGATAATATATTATTTATGAAATTGAAATCTTTAAAAAAACCTTTAACAATAAATAGTTATTTTCGATACATATGCGCAAAGGTAGGGATTTTGACGGCTTGAAGTGACGTCACAAGTTTGAGGCTATGGGCGCATTATTATCAAGACCGAGTTATTTATCCTGGCGAGCGTAGTGAGTCCGAATATAGTACGAGGTCTTGATGAGAATGTATCCATAGCTTTAAACTTGTGCCTTCACTTCAAGTTTGTCAGGGTCCCTACCTTTGAGCATTAAGTATCGAACATAATTTTTTGTCATATCAATTGCGGAAGTTGAATTTGGGAGAACAGTCAAGAATGTTCAATTATTGTTTATTTTATTTAAAGGCACAAGAATTATGTCACACGATATTAAATAGCGATGGATTAAACGTACGTATATGTTGAAGTTGTTTACATTTACAAGATTCAACTGTCGCTAAGATTCTTTTTGCGAGTTTTACTCCACCCAGCGGACGTTTGTCGAATTAAAAGATAATTCGACTCATCTATAGCGTATTTTAGCATAGTCGTGCAGAAATGTAGAGACAGATAGAGAGAGAGGTTACTTTTCGATACTAGTGTGAGGTAAATTAACTAAACTATAGATTGTCAGAAATCGTATTTTTTGCGCCCTCTGTGTATTGCTCGAAAATCCAACTTTCGCGGTTGATATCACAAAAAATTATTTTTCTTCATTTACTTTTCGACTAAGCAAAAAAGTAAATATTTTATAGTTAAATCATATTGTCAACTTTTGATTTTTAACAAATGTTTATTATTATTTTTAAGGTGAGCGGTATGGCTACAGAAGCTCAAATTCTAGAAGCTTTGCGAAGATATCCGCATAGACCAACATATGTGCAAAAATGTTTGTACAATCTATTTCGGTTGACTCCACACTTTAGTGAGCCACGAGTTGATGTGATAAAACTTGTGATACCAGGTATGAGAGCTCATCCAGAAGAGTTTAAAGTACAGATGGCTGCGACAGCTTGTCTTTATAACTTAACTAAAGGTGAATTAGCTACGAAGATACATCCGTTTATTCTTAAACAAATAGTTGATTTAACACTCACAGCTATGGAGTCTTATCCTAATCATTATCAATTGCAAAAAAATACTCTATTAACTTTATGTAGCGATCGAATTTTACAGGATGTTCCTGATCAGGATGAAGACCACCAAAATCTTCTAGGGGAGTTGAATGAACAATGCAATCTTTATTCACTCCCAGTTCAACTCCAAAAATACGATTGGCATACGGTCCAGTAACTGCATAATATTATTTTTTTTTATGATGTACAAAATATTTTTTTTTAATTTCCATTCGCAAATTGTAATTACGAACATTGAACACAGAAAATAAATAGAATATTTTATATTTTATATAGATCAGTAAAATAACATATTACTCTCCGTGACGGATCCAAAGTGCGGTAGAGTACGGTAATGTACGGCAAATTCACGGTAGGGTACGGTAAAGTACGGTACGTACGGTGATTTACAGTAATACAGTATGACACCGTAAATTACGGAGATTGTACGGCAAAGTACCGCGATTGTACCGTAATTTACCGTCATTGTACGGAAATATACCGTGATTGTACGGTAAAATACCGTAATTGTTAGTAAAATACTATCATTATCCGGTAAAAAAATAACTGTTTTTGTACGCTAAAGTACCATAATTGTACGGTAACTTATCGCTAAAATAAGGTATATTTGACGGTCGGTTACCATTGGAATACGGTAGAGCGGAAAGTTCAGAAGTATATATTCTACCGTATTTTCAACGTACGCTACCGTAATTGTACTGTAACTTTACCGTTCTATACCGTATTTTCACCGTTCTTTACTGTACGTTACGGTGTTTTACAATTTCTACTGTGCAAGTAGAATGCTACTGTAATCTACGGTGGCCATACGGTATATCGACCGTATTTTTACCGTATAATACCGTAATTCTACGGTATTTCAGATCCGCCAGGGCTTTTAATTTTGTTAATTGATTTTCCAAAAAAAATAATTTCAATTGCTATTTTTATCACATTATTAATATAGCTTGTTAAAACCCGCTCCATAAACAGCGTGTGAGTGAATACACCTTCTAAATCATCACGTCGGTTTCTCCGTCTACACGTACACGGAAAAAAAATTGAAGGAATTTTTACTATTTCACTATCGTAATTTTTATTGAATAAAATTGTAGCGGTGGACTATACTTCTTATTCTGTAATTTTTACAATCTACTATTGTAAATTTTATCCAACAAACAACACTAGCAAGAGACTTAATAAGTCGAAATACTATAGAGCAAATTATACAATATGTGTTTGTGAACTTTACAATTTAACTATTGTAAAAATTCACAATCGGTTTTTTTAAAATAAATATTAGGGAGGGAGAGAGATAGAAAGTTGGGATAATTGGTACCTATACAGTAACCGAAAAAAGAAATCGGAATATTTCCGTACTATCCGGGAATCGAACCCAGAAATTTTCGTTGGCAGCCAGAGACTCTCCCTCTACGCTATCCGAGGTAAACTAGTACCCGTGTCCTTTAATATTTACATAAACTCGGAGTCTAGCGCTGTGCACGGACATCGCTCACACTAATTGAGAAACATTCCAATTCAACTATTGTAAAATTTGTTATAGTTCTATTGGAAAAATAAAGAGGCAGCACTGGAAATTTTAATTCTTACTTTTTACAATAGTAATATCGTATTTTATCTAATCGTAAATTGTAATATTTCATGAATAAATAGTAAATTTTCTTCTAAAATATTTGAAAATTAATAGTAATAAAAGTATAGTCCAGCTTTACTATAGTTGTATCGTAAATTTTCCCAGAAATTTTTTTCCGTATATTTGAAAATATCTATGTCGACATATCCCGGGAAAAAATGATCAGACCTGACCATGCCCGTTCATGTATGATCAGGCCTGAAATTAGACCTGATCAGGCTTATTCATGTATGACCAGGCCTGAAATTAGACATGACCATGCCTGATCAGGTCTGTTCATGTCTGAAATGTTAAATATGCTCAGACCTGACCAGGCCTGTCCATGCCTGATCAGACCTGTCCATGTCTGAAGTGTTAAATACGCTCAGGCCTGACCATGCCTGTTCATGTCTGAAGTATTAAATTCGCTCAAGCCTGACCAGGCCTGATCAGACCTGTCCATGCCTGCCCATGCCTGTTCATGTCTGAAGTGTTAAATACGCTCAGGCCTGAGCAGGCCTGTCCATGTCTGATCAGACCTGTCCATGCCTGTTCATGCCTGAAGCGTCAAATACCTCAGGTCTAACCAGGCCTGTTCATGTCTTTAATCTCTGAAGCGTTAAATACACTCAGGTCTGATCAGGCCTGTCCATGTCTAATTAGGCCTATCATAGCCTCTGCATAATAGTCAGAAATGTGATGAAAATTTTTTCTTTGACGAAAAAAATTTTTTTGGTCATCACAAAATGTGCAGAATTATTTTTATCATTACGTTTAAATAATTTTGGAATAAAAAATTTGTTACAGTTCCTATGGAATTTTTTGGTGTGCTCTACTCCTGCCTAATATTAAAATCATTACTTATTTTATTATTTAAATAAATGTGATGTTATAATGAGATTCGGTTAAATAAATAAATTAGGACTATCAAAATATATTATAAAATCAATTTTCATCTTATATTTATGATAAACTTATTTGATACGTTATGTACTTCATGGAATTGTTGTCACATAAGATAGCAACACAGCAGGCGGGAGCTTCAAGGCGCACGGATATCACCAAAGTTAAGCAGCATTGAGCGTGAATAGTAGTTGGATGGGCGACTGCTGGTGTTACAGCCGTATAATTATATGTAATCATTTTTTTTTTATTTTAATTCATTATAGAGAATTGCGTATGACTCTATCAAGTACTATATCCATAAAATAGAGCAAAATAATTAATTAAAAGTAACAATGGGCTTTCAGACCTGACCATGTCTGATCAGGCCTGATCAGGTCGATTCATGCCTGATCAGGCATGGTCATTTTTCATGCCTGATCAGGCCTGAAGACTCATGCCTGTTCATGTCTGATCAGGTCTGATCATTTTTTCCCGGGATAGATCTATACGTCATTTTGCCATATAACCCGGGTAAAAAAATTTATATATAATTGGGTATAATTATATATAAAAAATGGCCCGGCATAATTATATATAATCATGTATAATTATATCCAATTATATATAATTATATGCGATTATATATAATTATATTAATTTTTTTTTTTCAAAAATGGATAAAAAAAATTTTTTTTTTTTAATTATATTGAAACCAATGCGATTCGGAGTATGATGTAGTAATCAGAAACTATTTTAATTGATGAAAAATTCCGGGCGTCCGCTGGGTTCGAACTCGACTCCTCCTGGTTATCAGTCCTGCACGCTGCTTACTGGTCTGAATCACATACTGTGCACGACACAATCTATTGAATTTATTTAAATTCAAACCCAATAAAGATCAGATTTACACATAAATTTTATTAAATTTCTTAAAATCCTATTTATATATAAAACTTAATAAAAGCAGTACATTTTTAATAGATTTTTTATTTTGACTATTGTAAATTTTTATATTATTTATTTTCTATAGAAAATGAATTGTATCTTTTAATTGAAGAATTGAAAGTTAAACATAATAAAATGATCAGTAATCTAAATATGCAAGCAGTAGTAAAACATATTATACCAGTTACAGAATCTGAAAATTATTTGTTAATAGAATTGAGAGAAATACAAAGTGTTTTTCAGTTATTAAGAGTAGAAGATTTAGAGATTTTGTATGTAAGAGACCAGATAATTCAAAGAGAATTTGGTAATTTTATTATAAAATTGAATTTGAATCCCTACAAATATTATAAATGTGAATGTAAGTTTGTTTGTTACGCTTTCACGCAAAAAACTACTTAACCGATCATCATGAAACTTTGTACACACATTCTTGAAAGTATTAGAAGTAACATAGGATACTTGTTATTAAAGAAGAAAATTTATTTTTTACGAAAGAAAAAAAAATTGTTTGTCAAAAAATTTGAATCACATTGATTCAGTTCTATTGGAATGTAATGATCTTTGATATTTTTCGAAGGACTTCAACGCGAGCGAAGCAGCGGGTAAATGCTAGTTAAAAATAAAATCATTGTTCATAAAAAAGTAATCTTTGTCATTACTTTTTTCAACTTTGAAGATTTAGTATGATTTTCATTTAATCATACGAAAAATATAAAAAAAATCATTATCTATCAATATCATATAATTTAATATGATTTGATATAATTATACATAATTGTTTATAATTATATAAAAATTACGAAGAACATACATAAATTTTTTAAATTATACATAATTTTATATAATTATATATGATTCTACATAATTATAAGCAATTATACAACCATAACCAAAATACAATGTAGGATTATGTATAATTATATATAAATGGTTAAACACGAGAAAAACATTGTATGAAATTATATAGAATTATACATGATTCTATATACTTTCACATAATTATATAGAATTATACAAAATGACCGAGAAAATTACGTAGAATTATACATAATTATGTATGATTATATATACTCTTACATAATTATACAAAAATAGCTAAAACTTTCTCGGGTAAAAAAGATTATATATAACTCTGAATAATTATATATGAATCATATATAATTATACAGAATTATATATGAACCATACATAATTATATATGATTCATATATAATTATATATAATTGCACATAATCTTTTTTACCCGGGAATCATCCTTATTAAAAAGAGAAATTTAAAAAAAGTTATCTCAATGCAAAATGTATGTATCTAGATAATAATATTTTTTCCTTTGTATTTAAACATTTAAGTTATTATTCTTTCTCATATATTTGCGACTATTTAATTCTTCCTCAGCGTCTCAAGAAATGTCACAAAATAAGTTTTTAAGATAGACTATGAAAGGAGTAGTAGTTAAACAATCATTTTTAACAATAGGCACAGCGAAAACTTTCAACGTTTTATTGAAATATCAAAAATATTATAACATATTATTGATTAATATTAAAAATAATATTATCAATATTTAATATGTTCATTTAAAAATGAGAAATATTTGTATATAATTTTTCGATTACATTTTTTATGAATGACAAAGCAAATTTTTGATTATAAATTAAAAAAACTCAATTCAAAACGCCCAATAATTGATCACACTATAGTCTATAAATTTT